CCAGGGGGCATGCATTGTCGTGCCCTTCCAGCATTGCGGCGCGGCGCCGTGCCTTTCAAATCGGAATAAACGTTCGGAGCGCCGATGAAGTCTGGGCTCGAGCTCGCGCTTGGGCCAGGACTGCAGCTGGAGTGCCAGCGCAGGCGCAGGGTAGATCCACAGCTGATTCTCAGTTACGCTATATCGCGGCCAAGAACATCAAGCCAAAGCCTTAGCAATGCTAGTTCAGACGAGCAAGCAAAGCTAGACCCCGGAGGCTCCTGGGAGGCCCACTGGGGACTTGTTGGGGCCTGTTGGGGTGCTGTCTGTGGTCGCCGGGCAGACTTTGGAGGGCGTGCTGAGCTCAGGAAGAGCTCCGGGGCCGTCTTCGAGGGTATTGGGCCTTCTTGGGAGGGAGGGGCCGGCTCCAGCTCCATCTCGGCCTGGCGAGGTCCCGTTTTGGGCAGGCCTTGGCTCGTCGTGCCGGACTCGGCATGCGGCCCTGGGGGGCCGCCTTGGGGCTGACCCGCATCGGAGGGCCCTGCCCAAGAACGAGCATGCACTTCATCTCTCCGATGGGCATGTCTGTAGAATGGCCTTCGGCACATCCCGCCACCGTGCCTGGGTTGTGGGTCTGATGCCTATTGGATGTTCGTTGGGATCTCGTGGGTGGCCTCTCGGAGGCAGTTTTTAGGCCTCTTAGGGGCTGGTTGGGGGACTCTTGGAGACCCCTTAGGGGCCTCTTGGTCCTGGGGCCTCTTTGGACCTTTCGATCGCCTCATCGGGCCTCCTCGGGGCCTTCTGGGGCGGAAGGCTCGGATTTTCGGCTCGTGTTCCCTATCGTGGGCTCCTTCTGGGGTTGTCTTGGGGACTTGTTGGGCCGTCGTGGGCGCCTCTTGGGCCGTGTTGGGGCGTTCTTAGGCCGTCCTGAGGCCCTCATCGAGGTCCCTTTGGCCGTTGCTCGGGCCGTCAGGGGGCCATCTTGGGCGTTTTGGTGTGGTCGTTGGGCGTCTCGGGCACCACTTGGACCGTCTTCGGGGTCTCTTGGGGCCCGTCTTGGGGCCCTCGCGGGCTCAAGAAATTCACGCGACAACACTTCCTGGAGCCCAGGGGGCACGCTGGAAGCCCCTGGGGGCACGAAGGAAACCCTGAGAGATTTCGGATTTTGAGTTCGGGGCCTTTTTTAAGGACTCGTCGGGAGTGTCGATTGAGGCTTAGAGGATTAGGTGAAGGACCTGAGGACACGCCCACTGCGTGCCCAGAGGCTCGGTGGCATATATATATATATATATATATATATGTGTGTATATAAATATACATGTATATATATACATGTATATATACATATATATATATATAGAGAGAGAGATACGTCTATATGGTTATACAAATGTACATGTTTCATCACACATATATCTACATATATACATGTACATATATACAGTACAAATACCCTCCCCCTCCCGGGGTCCCACACCTCTCCCTCACATCTGCGAAATGCTCCCAGTGCCCCGCCGCCCAGCCTCCGGGGGAGCCGCCAAAACGCCTAATGGCAGCCCAAGGCGACCCCAATCTTCAAGAAGCCCCCAGAACGTAACAGAGCAGACCAAGAGGCTCCCAAGCAGCCCAAGATAGCCTTCGGGCGGCCCTCCAGGCTCCCAGGAGGCCTCCAAGAGACCTCAAGAGAGCTCCGAGAGGCCTCCAGAGAGCGCCTGGAGAACCTGAAATCGTTAATTGTCATTCGTTTTTTCTAGGTTGTTGGCCTTCTCACCATTTCATGCTTCCAACGCTCCAAGACGGCCGAAGAGGCCCCCAAGACCGCCCCAAGACCGCCGAAGAGGCCCCTAAGACGGCCCTAAGACGGGCCAAGAAGGCCAAACAAATACGTCTCCCTCCTGGGGTCCCACACCTCCCCGTGACATCTGCGGAACGCTCCCGGTATACCGCGCCGGCCGGCCTCCCGGGAAGCCCCCAAAACGCCTAAGGACAGCCCAAGGCGACACCAAGAAGCCCCCAGAACGGAAAGGAGTAGCCCAAGACGCTCCCAAGCAACCCAAGATAGCCTTCGAACAGCTCTCCGGGCTCCCAGAAAGCCACCAAGAGACCTCAAGGGAGCTCCGAGAGGCCTCCCGAGAGCGCCCAGAGAACCTAAAATCGTTAATGTACATCGTTGTACTGGGTGGTGGCTGACGCATGCGGGCGGTGCCACTGGGGCCTTCGGTTGAGCCCCCTATGGGGCCACGAACCGCTGTGCTGGGTGGTGGCTGACGCATGCGGGCGGTCCCACTGGGACCTTTGGTGGGGCTCCCTATGGGACCACGAAGCGCTGTACTGGGTGGTGGTTGACGCATGCGGGCGGAGTCACTGGGATCTTCGATGGAGCTCCCTATGGGATCACGAAACGCTGTACTGGGTGGTGGCTGACGCATGCGGGCGGTGCCACTGGGGCCGTCGGAGGAGCTCCCTATGGGGCCGCGAAACGTGTGAGGGGTGTGCCGAAACGGCGGACATGCGGAGAGCAGAGGCAAGGATGGGAGGAGGAAAGAGGGGGAGGAGGAGGAGGAAGAGAGGAGGGGAGGAGGAGGAGGAGGAGGAGGAGGAGGAGGAGGAGAGGAGGAACGCGGGGACCGTCTCTTCAAAACGAGGACCCAACACCACAGGATGGCTGGGAAACAAGAAAATCGCATAATTCCGGTTTTTTCGAGCTCGGCCCCCTGTCTATTCTTACACAACAGACCACAATTAAGACCCCCCTCACCTGCCAGAAAAGAACCCACGAAGCCTTGCATGGCCCCAAATCGTTGAATACCCAAAGGAAATGAATGATTTCTGCGCTTCCGCACTTCCCCTTCTGCACGATTCCGAGGCTTGCGCAGGGCCTCCAAGAGTCTTTGGATGCAAGAATCGACAACATTGAGATTCCATGAGTTCGCCAATCAAGCCTAGCTAGAACTTGAGCGCGCTCGAAGCGCGCGATGGTATTAGTTTACATATGTGTATAATGTGTATGTGTGTATGTGCATATGTGTATAGCGTGTATATATATATAGAGAGATATAGATATAGATATGTGCGCCCGGATAGCGCAGCGGCTGCGCTTTGGCTCGAAACGTGGGCATACGTTGGCGTCCATGTCGCGAGGGGGCCTCGCAAGGAGCAGTCACGCATTGAATCAGACATGAAGGATTGGGGAACACATGCCCTGCAAGCGCGGTGGCCATTCATGAGCGGCCCCCTTGTGGGGCCGACGCGTAGTCGGATTGCTCGGGCAGCCAGCGAGCGGGGGGGGCGGAAGGAAGGTCATACACGTTCTGTTGCGACCGGCCCTTTCAAACACTGGCTGTTCAAGTCGGCCGAGCGCTTGTGAAATATGCTTGACCCGGGGGATGCCTCACGTCACCAGGATTGCTCTTGGGATGCGTCAAGGGGGCGGTTTTGAGTTGCTGCAGGCTGGGACGAATGTGGTCCCCCAAACTTCGCTTGCACTTACAGTGGAAGCCCATGCCAAGAAACACCCTGCTTGCCTCCAGGGTGCCTTGGGCTTCTCGGGTTTCGACGGTTTTGCGATGGGAAGCGTGACGTTCCCACGCCAACAGTCCACGCACGTCCTGGGGTCTCAGGGTTGGGTTTCTCGTGGAAGGTCTCTTGTGGGTGTAATTCTTTTCTCTATTGTACAATTCAGAGCCTTGTTCCGCTGTTCACTTTTGTTTGATTGCTAGATATGCGAAGCGCGACTTCTCGAAATGTGAAGGGTATAATGGCAGTTCGGGCACGACAGAGATTTGCAGACTTGCATATTTCTAGAGCATCCCCTTTCCCCCCGTTTCCCCCCTCCCCCTTTCCCGCCTCCCTGTTCCCCCGTTTTCGTTTCTCGGTCGGGTTTGTTGTTCTGGCAGTGTTTATTAGTTCCATTTTTTTCCAGTTGACACTGTCTGATGGTGAGATGTGTTCGTTTGCAGAGGCCTCGTGGACAAAAAAATAGCCGGTTGGGTCCGCCGACGCGTCGCCTCGTGGGCGCCCGCGGGCACCCCGTGGGCACGCCGTGCGCCTGCGGGGTGCGCCGAGGCTTCGCCCGGTGGGCGCCCGCGGGTGCCCGCCTATGGGGGGTCCGTGGTAGCCCGCACCGCGCAGCCTGCACCGCACGGCCTGGCACCACGGCAACTCCCCCTCCTCCTCCTCCTCCTCCTCCTCCTCCTCCTCCTCCTCCTCCTCCTCTCCTCCTCATCCCTCCCCTCCTCCCCCTCCTCCTCCCCCCCTCCTCCCCTCCTCCTCCCCCCCTTCCCTCCTCCTCCTCCGCCTCCTCCTCCTCCTCCTCCCTCCTCCTCCTCCTCCCCACGGCCTGCACCAGGTAGGCCGCACCGCGCGACTTGCACACCGCACAGGCTGCACCGCGCAGCCTGCACCACACATGGATGTTGTACGTCGCAGCGTGCGCCCCCCCCCCCCCCCACACACACACAGATTGCACAACACAGCTTGCAAAACATAGACTGCAGCCCAGACACCACACCGCCAATCTATATATGTGTGTACACACATATGTATATTACAAGTAGATAAGTCGATTGCTTCCATCCCTCGGAGCCCTCCGCAAGATAGCTCTCAGAACAGACCCCTTAAAAGGATCGGAGCCCATCTTGTTATTCTGGGCTCCGGATCACGTGCATCACGCATCCACCGTGCAGTGACGCCGCGCTCGGGGTCCACGCTGGCAAGCCTCCTCTCCCCCCTGGAGACCTTTCGGCTCGCGCCGTGCGGGTGCCGGGGTGGCCGCCGCCTCGGGACAGGAGGCCGCGCCGCCGCCGCCGCCCGGGTCCGCGGCCGGTGGGCCGATGGTGCCGGCTGCAGCGCCCTTTGACCATTCGGAGAACAAAAAACGGCACGAACATAAGTTTGTGAAGCTCAGAGGGGGAGAAGGAAGAGGAGGAGGAGGAGGAGGAGGAGGAGGAGGAGGAGGAGGAGGAGGGAGGGAGGAGGAGGAGGAGGATGAGGAGGAGGATGAGGGGAGGAGGAGGGAGGAGGAGAGGAGGAGGAGGAGGAGAAGGGGAGAAGGGGGAGGAGGAGGAGGAGGAGGAGGAAGGAGGAGAGGAGGGAGGAGGAGGAGGAGGAGGAGGAGGAGGGAAGTGGAGGAGGAGGGAGGAGGAGGAGGAGGAGAGGAGAGAGGGAGGAGGGAGGAGGAGGAGGAGGAGGAGGAGGAGGAGGAGTGGGAGGAGGAGGGGGAGGAGGTGGAGGAGGAGGACGAGGGGCCGAAGCCGCTAGCCTCCCCGGAGACCCTCGTCGCTACGGCTGGGTTCACCGCGAAATTCTGGTCAGACCGCACCCAGGGAGATGTCCAGGGAGTAGCGGTACCCATCGGTCGTTGAAAGTATGTATTTCTGGATTTCCAGAACCCAATCTACTCCAAGCGCCTTCCTACTTCAAGAATCGACACGGTTTGGCTGTAGTCTGTTTTTCTTCGGGCGGGCCCGAACCCGATCTGCTTTTTCCGCCTGTCCTACTTCGTGCTCTACCTACTTCTTCCGACCGGCGTGTATCGGTAATTCCTGGTGTTCCTGTGGCCACTACGTTTCGGAGGTCCGCACGGAGTTTTGGTGTCGGCGCTGGGGCCCTCTCGGGCGGCGCCCCCCGCGCGCCGGGGAGGGGGGTCCCAGCGCCGAGCCGGGAGGCCCACGCCGACCTCTGGAAGTTTCGTTCCCCCAACTGGGCTTGCTCTCTTCAGGAGGGAAAAAAGCACATAGACACAATGAATCGTCGATCCCCAGGAGAATATGGGAAATTCGCCTGGCGAAGGACCCAACCATATGCAGTCGTGAATACCGCAAATCTGAATATCGTTTTCGGTGGCGCTACCTCTGGGTAGGGGAGACGCATGCGAACACCCCCACTGGGGCCTTCGGTGGAGCTCCCAGTGGGGCCACGAAGCGCTGCCCTGGGCAGGGGAACCGCATGCGGACACCCCCACTGGGGCCTTCGGTGGAGCTCCCTACGGGGCCACGAAACGCTGCCTTGGGTGTGGGAACCGCATGCGGACACCACTGGGGCCTTCGGTGGAGCTCCCTATTGGGCCACGAAGCGCTGCCCTGGGTGGGGGAACCGCATGCGCCCACCCCCACTGGGGCCTTCGGTGGAGCTCCCTATGGGGCCACGAAGCGCTGCCCTGGGTGGGGGAACCGCATGCGCCCCCCCTCACTGGGACCTTCGGTGGAGCTCCCTGTGGGGCCACGAAACGATGCCCTGGGTGTGGGAACCGCATGCGCCCCCCCTCACTGGGACCTTCGGTGGAGCTCCCTATGGGGCCACGAAACGCTGCCCTGGGTGTGGGAACCACACGCGCCCCCCCTCACTGGGACCTTCGGTGGAGCTCCCTATGGGGCTACGAAGCGTGTGAGAGGTGCGCCGAGAGCAGAGGCAAGGAGGGGGAGGAGGGGGAGGATGGAAGGAAGAAAGGAAGGAAGGAAGGAAGGGACGCGGGGCACCGTCTCTTCAGAACGAGGACCCAACACCACACGATGGTTGGGAAATATGGGAAGACGGGTGGAAGACACAAACCAAGAATTTTTTGGGACACGATTGGGAATATTTTTATTTGTGTGTATTTATGTGTGTGTCCTGGGGCCCCTTCTCATCTCTGGGGTATTTGATGTGTTCTGTAAGGACCTGCGCCTGGCGGTCGGTGCGGCGGCTCCGAGCTCGCCGTCGCCGCCCCGTGGCCGCCTCGTCGCCGCGCGTCGCGGGAACCTGGCTGTCGGTCTGGCGGCTCCGTGGGTCGCCTTCGCCGCCTCGTCGCCAGATCGTGCAACAGAGATTCTCTCTTGAAAATGGAGGACTTCCGATCCCCCCCTGGGATTCCCCGCCCGCTTCTTGAATTGAAATGTGCATACGATGACGGCCCATGGTCCATCCCAAATCTGAACTCATACCATCCCAGCCAGGCCGGTATCGACGCCACCCGCCATCCTCTGCAAACTATGTGTTGCGCGCGCGCTCGTTTATGAAACATCAGCAAGTTTCAATCGTCCGCTTCTGAAGAAAAACTAGACGAAGTGCAAACGCACTCGTCGTCGCGCGCGCGCATCCCGGAAGCCGTTGAGAATCTTAGGTTTCGTGAGGGAGTCAGAACCGAGTGCCCCGACAAGTTTGGAGCAGCACGTTTCGAGAAAAGGTCTGAGCGCGCGCCCGTGAAAATTCGTACAGTGGGTTTCCAGCAGGCTCCCCAACTTCGACCAAACGGGTCGTTCGCAAGTGCATATCGGAATCATTCGAACTCTTTCTGCGCGAGTGACGCCATGCGGACCACTCGCGCGCGTCGGCCGCGCGCTCATGTCGAACTCCGTTCAAAACTTCCATCACCGACGCGAGGGCACCATCGGCGTGATCAGCCTCGGCGCCGTCATTGGCTTTGCCGTCGTCGTCGTCATCATCATCACCAGCATCGCTACTATCATCACCGTGTCTACCGTTGTCGACGTCGCCATGATACCGTGCCCGCCCAAATCACCAACTCGCACTGAAGAGCCCGCGAGTCAGCGCGGCTTGCGAGACGCGGTGGGACATGCCCAGCGGTCAGCGCTACCGCGGTCGCGTCGGTCGCGTCAAACTAGCTGGACGCTGTGCGCGCGATCCTGCGCGGGCTAGCGCGGCCGCGTAAATGCACCCGTCATCACCAAGCACTCATCGCATTCGCCGCCGCATGGGTTTGGGGGGCGGCCGCATTCGCCGCCAGTCCCCCCGCATCGCAAACCAAGTTGCGGGCGGATGGGTAGGAAGAGTGCGCTGGCAGTTGCATTCCCATTTCAAAGTCATTATAAATGACTTGCGCCCTATAGGATGCTCCTTTCTAGAAAGAGAAAAGACTCGACCCCCCCTGGATTATCCATCTCTCTTTTCACAGTGCAAGTTTCACACGATTCTGACCCCATCGTCCATCCGAAATTTGAGCTCATACCATCCCAACCGAGCCGGTATGCGCCTCCCCCGCCATCCTCTACAACAAATACTATGCGCGCACCCGTTTATTATAAGCCATCATGTTTCAAGAGCCCCTTGTGGAATACGAAACGAAGTGCACACGCGCGTGTTGTCGCGTGTGCATGCCGGCATTATGTAACATAATTCGTTTTCGTACAGGATTGAAGATCGACTGTCCAACAAACATATAAACCAGAGGGTTTCGCAACACGGATGTTCAAAGAACAGCTTGCGCTCTTTTGCGATGTGTCAAGCGAACCGTCGGTGTCGCAAAATTTCATAACATGCTACCAAAATGGCTTCGCGTGCGCGCATGTCGAAATCGTTCGAACGCCCTTGCGCGCGTGCTGTCGCGAGATTCCTTTGCAGCTGGGGGCGCGAGGTCACGTCGACCAGAATTTGTGGGTCGCGCCCTGATCAGCAGGGCCACGACTTACACCGACATTCCCCTCCCTTCGACCCTTGTTGCTATAATGCCGTCGTCGATTCGAAACAGGAGCAAGGGGGGGGTGGAGAGCCAAGGGTCGTCGCGGGCGGGGCGGGACTGGCGGTGGGCTGGGGGGAAAGGTGCGCATACTGTTAGAATGTTGTCTCTTCTTGCGCCGCAGGTGCTGGCCCCCGAAGGGGGCCCTTGCCTCCTAGTGTTGCCGACCAGGCCATTGCCGCCAGGAGTGGCGTGCGATTGGCACTGTACCACTCCGTGTGCGTCGTGTCCGTGGGGGCCTTTCCCAGAGTCCGATGTTCCAATAGCGCGAGCCCAACTCGGGCCAGTGCAACGTTAGTAACTTCGGCGGGTGCCACGGGCTTTAAGTCTTGGGTCTTGAGGGGGAACAAACAACGGGACGAAGTACATACAAGCGCGCCGTCGCGCGCGCATGCCGAAATCCATCAAAAACCGTCGGTGCCGCAGCGATCGCAACGCCGAGTAACGAGACAACCGATGAAATCACATGGGTTCGCTACATCAGGTTTTAAAACAGCTTGCGCTCGCGCTCCTGCGAATTCTTCAGAAATTCATAGGTGTTCTAACATGTCCATTGAAATCTGCCAGACGGGCCTTTCGCGCTGCATGCCGACATGTTTCGCGCGCCGTTGCGCGCGTGCGGGGCAGGGGGCACGATCCGTTTCAAATAATACCATGCGGGCCACTCTCGCGCGTCGGCCGCGCGCGCATGTCGAACTCTTTCCAAAACCTTCATCACCGACGCGAGGGCTCCGTCATTGACGTCGGCGCGATCAGCATCTGCACCGTCACTGGCCGTGCCGTCGTCGTTGCCGACATCGTCACCAACATCACTACTATCAGCATCGCGTCTACCGTTGTCGACGTTTCCATGATACCGCGCCCGACCAGGTCGCCGAATCGCACTGATGTGCCCGCTGGCGTGTGCCCAGCTGTCAGCGCCACCGCGTTCGCGTCAGTCGCGCCAAATTAGCTGGCCGCTGCGCGCGCGCGTGCTTTGTTTGGCGCGGCCGCAGTGATGCAGCAGCCAACGCCAAGTACTCATCGCAATCGCCGTCGCATTTTGCAAACCAAGTTGCGGGGCGGTGGGTGGGGTGTTTGCAAGAGCATGGGATATGTCAACTCGTTTGTAAAAATCAATTGCACCACGCTGGCTTTTTCCACAAGGGAAATTGGATGCACCCTCCAGATGATCTGTCTGATCTCCCTCTGCTTTTTGTTTATTACAATTTACATGTGATTCGGCCCATTCTTCATTCCGAATAGGAACTCGGTCCATCCCAGCGAAGCCGTTATCGAATCACCCCGCCACCCCTGCCAGGACAACTGATGTGAATCTGCAGTTATTCGTGAGCTTGGGGAAAACCCAACCAACATGTACACACGAGTCGGCTACAGGCATACCTGCTTCATACACATGAACACAGAGATGGATATGCAGTAACCCTGAACGCTTCGCCAGGGACCTCCCTATTGGGCCACGACGCGTGAGCGGCCTGCCGACATGGTCGGGGAGGTGGAGAGGGCATATGCGAACCCTGCCAGTGGAGCCTTCGGTGGAGCGCCCTCTGGGGCCACGAAGCGTGTGAAAGGTCTGCCGAATCATCTGGGCGGCGGCACGCGAACTTATTCATCGGAGTCCTCGGTGGAGCTTCCTCTGCGGCCACGAAAGAGTTGAGGGGTGTGCCGAAACGGTCGGGGGGCGGCCTGCCACTGGGGCCCTCGGTGGAGGCCCCCAGGGGTGGCCATGGAACCGGTGAGGGGTGTGCCGAAACGGTCGGGCGGCGGTGTGCGAACCTTTCTGTTGGGGCCGTCGGTGGAGCTTCCCTGGAGCCCGCGAAGCGACGTGTGAGGGGTGTGCCGACGTGGTCGGGGCGGCGGCATGTCAACCTTGCCATCAGAGTTGTCGGTGGAGCTCCCAGAAGGGCCACATGTGAGGGTTCTGCCGAATTGGTCGGGAAGGCCACAGAACGTATGAGGGGTCTGCCGAAATGGTCGGGGCGGTGGCATGCGAACCCTTCCATTGGGGCCTTCCGTGGAGCTGCCCAGGGGGCCACGAATCGTGGGGGTGTGCCGACATGGTCGGGCGGCGGCATGTGAACCCTGCCACGGGGTCATTCGGTGGAGCTCCCTGTGGGGTCACGAAACGTGTGAAAGGTGCACCGGAATTGTCGGGGCGGCGGCATGCGAACCCTGCCACTGGGGCCATCGGTGGAGTTCCCTAAGAAGGGCCACGAACACGTGTGAGGGGTGTACAGACATGGTCGGGGCGGCAGCATTTGAATTCTGCCATTGGGGCCTTCGGTGGAACTCTTCAGGGGCCACGAAACGTGTGAGTGATGTCCAGAAGTGGTCGGGGCGGCGGCATGCGAACCTTGCCACTGGGGCATCCGGAGGAGCTCCCCAGGGAGCCACGAAACGTGTGATGGGGTGTGCCGAAATTGTCGGGGAGCGGTATGCGAGCCTGACAACTGGGGCTTTCGGTGGAGCTCCCTGGGGAGCCACGAAACGTGTGAGAGGTGCGTCGAACCGGACACGAGGCGACGTGCGGACGAGACGTCTGAGGAGTGTGGCGAAACGGTGATGAGGATAATAATGGTGGCAACGATGATTACAACGACGGCGTCGATGCCGACCATGGTGATGGTGATGATGACGACAAGGTCGGTACTGAGGACAAGGACGCGGAGGAAGAGGAGCAGGAGAAAAAAGGGAGAAGAGGAGGGGGAAGAGGAAAAGGAGGAGGAGGAGGAGGAGGGTGAGACGCGCGGCAATGCGAATTCAAATCGAGGACCCAACACACCGAACGGTTCGGACAAACCACCAATTTGTAATACTATATGACAACAATCGAAAAACGTGACGAAGTGCACACGCGCGCGTCGTCGCGTGCGCATCTCGGAATCCGTCTAAAACCCTTTGGGTGTCGTGAGGATTTCAAAATCGAGTGCCCAACATGGGTTTGCAATATGACTTCTCAAAAAAGGTTTGCGCGCTTCTGCTGAGCTTGAAGAGAACCATCGGTATTTCAGCAGTTTCATCACATGCGGCCAAACGGACCTGTCGCGCGCGCATGGCGAGATCATTCGAACGCCCTTGTGCGCATGTTGCGGCGGCACGACTCCTGTCAAATAATACCGCGGGGGGCCTTCGCGCGCGTCGGCCGCGCGCGCATGTCGAAATCATTCCAAAACCTTCATCACCGGCGCGTGGACACCATCATCGTCACTGGCGTGATCCGCCCCAGCGCCGGCATTGCCCTTGCCGTCGTCATCGTCGTGCTCGTCGCCAGCAGCGCTACTATCATCATCGCGTTTGCCTTTGCCGACGTCGCCATGCGTCACCGACTCGCAGTGAAGTGCCCGCGTGTCAGCGCGGCCTGCGAGATGCGCTGGGAAGTCCCCAGCGGTCAGCGCCACCGCTGCCGCGTCGGTCGCGCCAGAGATGCTGGCCGCTGTGCGCGCGAGCCTGCGCAGTCTGGCGCGGTCGCAGCGATAATTATGACATCCAGCGCAAAAACATTCATCGCAATCGCCGCCGCATGGACATTGCTGACCAAGCTGCGGGCGGGTGGGTGGGATGATTGCGCGAGCAGTGACAGTGACAACTTCAAGTTCGGCAGTGCGAGCTGCACCACATATTTGGCTCCACATCTGTTACAAAACGTAAGCTGCAAGCAACGCGCTGTTTGGGGCCCACGCTGGCTGCCATGTTTACGCCGTTGTTTGTTCATCGAGCCATGTGGTGGTCACTGCATCCACGCCACGGCAGCGGGATCAGTACCGCGACTTGGTGCGGCGGCGCACGGACGCGGGGCTGTACCCGCCAGAGCTAAAGTTCTTCTTCTGCAACGACCCGCAGGCTGGGCGAGTGGGCAGTGGCGGCGGAACGCTCTTGGCGTTGGTGGAGCTCTACCGCCACGAGAGCGGCACCGCAGGGGCGATCGACCCTGCCAAAGCCGCGGAGTTTTACGGCGCCCGCCGCGTGCTGGTCCTGCACGCGGGCGGCGAAAGCAGGAGGCTGCCCTGCTACGTGCCAGAGGGCAAGTTGTTCGCGCCGCTGAGCCTGCCGACGGAAGTGTGCGGCGCCCCGTGCCCGCCGGTGGTGCTCGACATCGTGCTCCAGCTGTACTTCAAGTACCCCTGGGCGAAAGGCGAGGTCATCCTGGCCTCCGGGGACGTGATCGTCAACTTCGACGTGAGGGAGTTCTCGGAGGCGGAGTCTGCCGGGAAGTTCCTGCGCGGAGACATCTGCGGCTTCGGCAAGGGCACCTCCTTCGAGCAGGGCAGCCGCCACGGCGTCTTCGCCTTCGACAACGCCTCCGCCCGGGAGGGGGTCCCCACGCTGGCCGTCCGCGACTTCCACCAGAAGTCGCCGCCAGAGGTGCTCGCCCGCGAGTGCGCCGCCACGGCGGACCCGACGAAGTGCGCCGTGGACACCGGCATCTTCTCCCTCGGCCCGCGGTGGGTCGGCGCCTTCCTCGAGCTCGCCGCCGCTCCGCTGCCCGGGCCCGAGGCCATGACCGTGCTGGACGCGGTGGAGGCCTCCAAGCTCTTCTTCGACTTCTACCTGGAGTGCGTCACCGCGAGCCTGCTCGGCCAGAGCGCGGAGGCCTTTGTGGGCCGCATGGCCGCCGGGGGCAGCAAGATGGCGCCGGCGCAGCTGGAGCTGATGCACCGGCACCTCTCGCCGCTGGAGCTCCGAGGCGCCATGGTGGCGGGCGGGGCCTTCCTGCACTTCGGGACGGTCACGGAGTTCCCTGACTCCTCCGTGGCCGCGGTGGAGCAGGTTCGGATGCAACCCCTGGGAGGTCAAATTCTGACTTTGCCCTGGTCCGAAACCTGGTTTCTACCGGCTCATTCCCGCTCGATCCCGCTGAATCCGGCCAGATCCCGCTTATAATCCGCGGCCCGAGCCGGCGCAGTAGCCCCCTGATCGGGCTCAGTCTTCCTTCTTCTTTCCGACGAAGACCTCCCAGCAGTTGTTCGGGTATGGCCAGGACCCCGGGTAAGGGGACCCGGTTAGTGGTAGGGCCCCAGAGCCTTCGAATTGGCCAGAATCACTAAACCATGGTTTGCCATGGCTGGTGTTCTTTCGGGTGACGGCAGTTCCGGTCAGTGGAACTGGGACGGGGGGGCGCCCCCGGTACAGATCACCAAACCCGGTCCCATTATTACCAGCCTGGAACATATCCCTATCCCTATGCTGGATACCTCCTCATCACGATGCCAATCTTAGGGATTCCCTTAGTTTTTGAGGGTGAATCCCTAAGATTGTCATCGCCTTTTGGCGTGTCAATCTTGGGGATAGGGATACGTTGGAGGCTGGTAACATTAAACCCAGTTCTGCCAACGCCCGAGAAGACCTCCCAGCGCAACGCCCGAGACGCCAACATTAAACCCGAAAAACAGGCAAAAACCCGAGGGGAAACCCGAAAACGGCCATTGACACGCACATGCGCACGCCGCCCCCCTCCCCTGGAACCCCTCCTCCCTTTGGGGCTTCGCCCACATCAGAACGCCATCACTCGTGCCTCGCTCTTTCCGTTGCCTCCCCGCGCAGCTGCGCCCCACCGCAGGACATGTGGCCCATCTACGTGCCGGCGGGCACCGTGCGGGCCGCGGGCGCCCCCGCGGCGGGGGGGCTGCACCAGACCAACTGCGACCCCGCGGGCGCGGGCGTCCGGGTGCTGCGCGCCGGCCTCGGGGGCGGCGCCCCGCCCATGCGGGCCGGACGAATAGGGGGGGGATTGTAAGACGACGCGAAGATCGGGACAACATCGGATCGGGATAACTCGAAATCTCTGAGAATCGGCGGGTTTGGAGGATGTATTGGGCGCCGCGGCCGCTCCAGAGCGTTCCGGAACGCTCTGAGAGCGCTCCGGAATGCTCTGGAGCGATTTATCCCGATCCTAGCCCTGTTTTAGATTGGGAAAGGGGGGGGTACGAAATTCGCTGCAGGCAGCTGGTTTCGGCCTCACCGATCGGGGCCCATTCCTCGATGCATCGCCGCCTCCGACGCCGGGAGGCGCCGGGAGAATCAGCTGTGTGAGCTGATTCTCCCCCCCCCCCCTTTGCTATCCCCCCCTTTCGCCCGACCCGACCCATGGGCTCGATGGCCTGGGTCGAGAGCTGCAGCGAGAGCGCCATCTTGGCGGGCCCGTTTCCCACCACCACTACCAGATAGGTAGGACGGGGGAGAAGGGAGGATGAGAAGGTCCTCCTCCTCACCACCCACCGAACCACTCCAACCCAACCCGAAGGCTCAGATTTACCCTCGATTTCTAGTAGGGGGGGGTCGGGAGACATCGAGAAAACACGCGTGGAACCCGTACCCCCCCCCAACCCGAAATTCGGGGCTTCGGGTTGGGTTGGGGTGGTCTGGCAGGTAGTCACCTCCTCCTCCTCCTCCTTCTCCTCCTTCTCCTTGCGCTCCTGCGTGTGGTAGTGGTGGTGGGAAATCGGCCCATCACATCTGGCTCGGACCTGGGGGGTTCAACATTAGAAGAAGCAAAAACGCCATAATCATATACGTTTGGCGCTCCGCGCGGATTTCTTGGATCCGCGCTGGGCCCCCCCCTGGCGGCGCCTCCGGCGCCGCCCCTGGCGCGCTCCGGGGTCCAGCGCAGATCTAAGAAACCCGCGCGGAGCGCCAACAGTTTATGTTCATGGCGTTGTTTCTTCTTCCAACCGTGCTCGTCGGAGTCGACGGCCTCCTCCTCGAGCAGGACGCCCCGCTGCCCGACGGCATCTGCCTCGACGGCCGCCACTGGCGGTCCCCGTCGGGCGACCAGTACTGCGTGGCCGTGTACGGCAGCAGGGACACCTTCAAGAAGCAGGCGGCGGAGGCGGCCGTCGTCTTCTGCGGCGCCCGCATGGCCGAGTGGCTGGGCGCGCGCGGGCTGTCGGCGGCTGACGTCTGGGCCGGCGGGCCCGGCCTGGACCTGTGGACGGCGAAGCTCTTCTTGCGGAGCCCAAAGGTATGCACCGCCACCGCCTCCCTCACCCCTATCCCTCTCCTAGGAGAGAGGCGAGGAAGATGAGGGCGGAGGAGGGAGGAAGCATCGACGTGGTGGTGGTGTATGTTCTTGGGGCCCGCACTTATGCCCCCGCGGCGATGCCAGCGCGGCCGAGTACACGGAGAGGCTGCGCGGCTTCTGGGACGCTGGCCGCTTCGATGCCGCGTGGTTCCGCGCTGCGCCGCGCGTGTCGCTCCAGGAGCTCAACGACGTCGACTCCGCCCTGGAGCGGGACGCCAGGCGGATCCGCTTCCGCTCGTCCATGTAGCGCGGGTGGAGCCGGCGCGTGGGCGGCCATAGACACTCGGAGCGTGCAGCGCGCCGCACTTCTCGAGAAAGGTTGCCCCCGTGGCGGTCCCGGGCGAAGCGCTCCCCGCCTCCTCCTCGTCCTCCCCCTCCTCCCCCGCCTCCTCCTCCTCCGCCTCCTCTTCCGCCTCCTCGTATACTCTTCCTCCTCCCCCTCCCCCCTCCTCCTCCTCCTCCTCCTCCTCCTCTCCTCCTCCTCCTCCTCCTCCTCTCCTCCTCCTCCTCCTCCTCCTCCTCCCCCTCCTCTCTCCTCCTCTCCTCCTCCTCCTCCTCCTCCTCTCCCCTCCTCCTCCTCCTCCTCCTCCTCCTCCTCCTCCTCCTCCTCCTCCTCCTCCTCCTCCTCCTCCTCCTCCTCCTCCTCCTCCTCCTCCTCCTCCCCCTCGCCCTCCTCCTCCTCCTCCTCCACCTCCTCCTCCTCCTCCTCCTCCTCCTCATTCTCCTCCTCCCCCTCCTCCGCCTCCTTTTCTCTTCTCCCTGCTCGCGCGTCGGAGTTCCCCCACCTGGCGCTGAGACCCGCCTCGGTCGCGCGAGCCCTGGCGCCCACCGTCGTCGGGGAAACGTAAGATTAAGTCGGGCGTGCCCTCTACAGGAGGAATGAATAGTAGTCCAAACGTAGTCTGGGGACGATGGTTTAATAGTTCTGACTCCTTTGGAATATGTTTTGGCTGTGCATTACTGTTCGTCCAAAATCCGCCTGTAGGGGAACATGCCCGACCTGAACGTAAGACTCTTGAGTTCGGGGGAACCCGGGCTTGCCGACGCTTTTTGACGGGCCCGTCCTAAAGCTTGACGGTTCTCAGTCTTCGCGGGATGTTTGCAGCGGGAGTTCGCGTCACATTTCAGAGTGGGCCTCGAGTCTTGCGTCTCCCCTAGGGGGTCACATGCGAACCTTACCTCTACCCCCCACGATTTCTGAGGGGGAGGGTGGGATTCACTTCGCTCGCACGTGGCCCCCTATCCCCGACGCTGGGCCGTCTCCCTGCCGCCGCGCGCTGCGCCCCGAGCGCAGCCCGGGTCAACCGCGGATCCCGCAGGGCCTCCGGCAGGCCTTGTCACGGCCAGTGCGTCCGCCCCCTCTGCGTGGCGCCCGGCGGCCTTTGTGCCCGCGACTCGTTGGCGCGACGCCTCCGCCCAGCCACTGCGTAGCGTTAAGTCGGGCGTGCCCCTCTACGGGAGGAATATTCGAAAATGGTTATGGGAAAGTCAGGGTCGATGTTTCTTACATTTTTTATGTTTCGGGAGCATCTGTTTGTTGCTATCTTTGATTTGACTTCCACAATCCGCCCGCAGGAGGACATGCCCGACCTGATGCCAGCAGCCCCGTGCCCCCCCTGTTCGGAGGGCGCCAACTGCCTTTTCCCGTCGCGGGGCGGCAGAGGCCACCCGCTCGCGCGTCGAGCAAGTCCGGGCTACGGAGCTGCGCATTGTCCCACATATGCAAGGAGGGGGGGGGGGGGAGGGGGAGGGGCAGAAGAGGGCGGCCGCGGAGGAGGAGGAGGGAGGGGGGCGCCCACACGCGGCGGGAGCCGCAGGGGGCGCGCGGGGCGGCCAGGCGGTGGGGCCCCGGGCAGCGGCGCCAACGGCCCACCTGCGGTCGAGCATCTGATGGAGAAACCTCCTCCCGGAGAGCTGGTCCAGCGCTTCTGGACCAGCTCGCCGGAACGCTGGCACAGTTTCTTGAGCACGTGCGCCCTTCGGCGTGAGCAGCCGGAACTGGCACAAGGCTTGTCTTAAGGAACTGCCGGCAAGCTGGCCCAGGTTTCTTCAACGAGAAGCATCTTGATCGCATCTTCGCCTGTGCACCGGTCCTGACCAGGCCGATCCTGGGTACGGCCCTGCTGGCCCTGGCGATGCTCGTGGGTCCGCTCGGGGGGCCCCCTTGCCCCTCGTCGCTCGTCGGCGTCATCTTCGTCGTCATCGTCGTCGTCGTCATCGTCGTCATCATCGTCATCAATTGTCATCATCGTCGTCGTCATCGTCATCGTCATCGTCATCAGCTTGTGAATCCGCTCTGGGCCCCCATTGCCCCTGCACACCTGCGGCGTGCCAGTTCACGCCGCGACGCCTTCGCAGTGGACCCACCCCGGGTGGTGTGTGTACGTTTGTGTGTATGCCGCCCCTGCGGCTTCGCCGGCTCTGCTGGCAGTCGACCAGGCTCAAATCGGGCATGTCCCCCTACATGAGGCATATTCAAAAATATTCAAACAGTAATCCGGGGATAAATTTCTACGGTTTTTGAATATATGATATATGTGAGCATTTGTTTTGACTAGCTGTCATGTTTCTTCTAACATCCGCCTGTAGGGGGACATGCCCGACCTAAGACCTGGCCTGGAGCGCCGCGCCCTTTGCAGCGCCCCCCCCCACGGGGGTCCGTTTCCATCCGGTCGATCCCAGTCGCAATCGATGTCGGCCGGCCAGATCTGGCTCGGATCCCTTCTTCCAGCGACCCGATGCGCCCCGACGTTTGCACGTCGCTGTCGTGCACTCTCGGCGCAGCCGATCCGATTTGACTTCGATTCCGTGCCGGTGCAGCCCGATTCGACGCGCGTCCCGATTCGATCCGATTTCCCGATTCGGTGCTGACGGATCCTCCCCCGTGCGTTATGTTCCTTCTCCGCGTGCCACCAGATGTACTTTTACCACT